TTTTTGAAATAAATAGTATTATTCCTATATCTACTATCGTCTCAAATATGTCCAAGTAAATGAGTCATACCAAATATTCAGGCTATTGGGGCCATCAAAGTGAATTTAGAACACTTCGGAAATATCGGAAAAAGAACTTGTATTAATTTATTTAAAACAGAAATAAAAACCGATGTGTTCTCATTTGATTTTGATATTTTAGACTGACCGGGGGCCGTATTTCTACGTAGCCCCCAGTAGGTTTTAGGACTACGGACGTATATAAAGGTACGATCTAGTTCGTAAAGCGAAAACCAAAGTAAAACCCAAATGCTCAGGCTATTGGAGCCATCAAAGTGAATTTAGAACACTTTGGAAATATTGGAAAAAGAAGTTGTATTAAAAATATTTAAATACAAATAAAATCCAATGTGTTATCTCATTTGATCTTGATATTTTAGACTGACCGAAGGCCGTATTTTTACAGAGATTGTTCTGTGCGATGAGGCCTTGGGTCATGTCTGGGTCAAGGTACGTGGTTCCAAATCGAGAAGCAGTACCTCGGACAGTGATATATAAAACCTTGTTGTCCGCGAGACGTAGCGAATATCAACCGGGTTCGACGTGAGTAAGGAGGTGGCTGACGGAACTGTGCATGTACTTGACAGTCGCCCCCCCCCCCTATCCAATAGGAACGAGTTGTTACCTGGTGGAGCATTATGATTAGCAGTACGAATGTGTGGGATGGTAACACGTTTAATAGTAGACTACGGCTACTATTCATATACACACACATGTGAGTGTACAGTCGCATATACACTTCTAACTACATACGTCTATAATACTCACAACAAGACTAACACACCACTCTCCTCATCCGTCCATAGGTGGATGTACGAGACCAGCAAACCCTGTGGTGCACATGCGGCAATATCAAAACCAAGTTAAGGTTTAAAACCCAATGTAGGAAAACTAGGTTTGTCCTGAAACCAGATGCCAGATGGGTAATATTTGTAAAAATCTCTAAATAGGGAAAAGTTGCATCATCACTTTCGTATTATTTGCTCCAAAACGAAAAATCCAGCCCAAAACGTGATTGGCCCCAGCCTCCCAGGGCCCACGCCCCACTTCCAGGGGTCAGGGCCCAGGGCCCCAGGCTCTCCAACAACAAGAGTCTACAAAGGGGTTTATACTTTATATGGTTGTTTCAGATAGTTTCATTCACCGAGTCACCAGTCACCAGAGTCTGGCGTACACAAGTCACGAGTCACAGACTCACGGGCGCATGGCCCTTAGGCTTCAGGGCGTTCAGGCCTTCAGCCCTCAGCCCTCAGCCCTCAGCCCTCATCGAGCGAGGGTTAGCCGCAGCCTCAGCCCCTCGGCCCTACTGACTCAGGCCTCAGGGCTCAGGCGGTCAGGACATACATATTAGTTATTAGGCCTCAGCGCTCTGGAGTCAGGAGTTAGGGCCTCACATGCAGTATGAGTTAATGAGACACAGGACGCACGGACACGGAGTCACAAGCCACCGTGTCACGTCTCACAAGTCACAAGAAGATAGTTACCGAGAGTACTGACTACCGAGTCCGACTGACACTAATCACTGATCAATTATCAGTTTATCACTCTTTTAAATGCGACTTACAGGAACAGCCCAAAGTGAGCCCACTGATGCCTGAGGCCCTGACCCCCCTGACTCCTGAGGCTCTACTCACACTGAGCCCAGAGGCTACTCTTGTAGCAGGAGGGAGCCCTGAGCCCAGTCAGCCCACAGCCCCACACGGGCCACACTCCACAGACCACTGTCCACTCCGACTCCACACTCCACACGCCACACTCCACAGTCTACACTCTACAGTGATCTACACTACAGTCTACACCTGACCGAGGAACACGTACAAATAAACATAAAAGTGCATCTTATTATTTTCAACGTTTTATACACATATTTATTATTTTAGGAAATACAAATATATGTAAAAAATATTTCGTGCATGTTTCATTTTTATTATTTTTCCAAAAATATATACGTTACATATTTATTATTTCTCTGGCATAATTTCCTCATATATATTTATTTCTCCTATATTTCCACATAAATATAACTTCATATTATTATTATAGCTTGCTATTTAGTATGTGTGACGATAGTTGATACTAAAAGTCAAAAACACATTTGATAAACAGTCCTTGTGTATGCACAACACATTTGCACAACGCAGCATAGTAATCCACTAAGTATGAACATATATATAAAGCTTACACTTGGTTTACGCAATACACTAAAAAGATAAAAGATCTATATAATAAATATATCATGAGTTACATGACATCTAAACACGCATTTTTGTAATGCCATTATTCTGAGTCATAGAAATCGACAGAGATCATTTAGCAGTAAAGCAGGGAGATATACAGATTAAGCTGTACTTGAATACTGTGCACTGGGGTGGCATATTTGGGCATGTGGGCTTATATTGTCACTGTTTTTAAGTCAAATTAACTAACGATCTATGTGTTGACTTGTGTATATAATAGGTGTGACTGCTTGTCAGTATTTCAACACCACAAGTATAAAACTGAAAAGATTTTTTTTGCCATCTTTTTTTTTGTTCCAAAAATCAATCAATTTTCAAATTGGTAACAATTTGCCACCTTATTTGAAAAAAGTGGTCAACATGCATCGAGCGGAAACAGGTTAAATTGCAACTGACGCTATACTACTGATACGATAGCTCTGAAATTGGTAACAGATCTCAAGGACAATACTATTAATAGGTGTGGACGATTATTTCTATGCCTGTGAACTATGAAGTTCGCAATGTCCTTTCTGGCAGGATATGTGATAAGTGTGGATTACGTCTTCTGTGACCATGATGCGCTCAAGAGACAAAATATCGAATTGGCATGTAATATGAAAGCGTTTTTCGGGCATCACCCGACTACACTAGTGTCAAAAAGAGTGTCCAACATGTGGGCTTGTATTTTTTGATGTTATTTCGTCCTATTTGGTATGGTTTAAATTACAGGGTTTTTCACGCATACTTGCGAAGTTATACAACTATAAATATGGACACAT